TATTATTTCATAGTTTCCATGTTTTATCTCTGTAATATATTATAGATAATTTGTGTTAACTTTGTCATGTTTTAAATTTTACTCTCTTTAGCTATATATAGTCTGCTTTGAAGGTCATCCACTAAGTTTTAAATTTCATAATTTTTACTCACAAAATTTATATTTTATTTCAATTCAGTTACGTTACCTTTTTTTGTTTACAATTTCTTGGTTCATTTGTTATTTTCCAATTTTAAGAATACCTTTCATAATTGTAAACATAGTTATATATTTTATGTCTAGTAATTCTAATATCTGAAATTTTTGCCAAGCAGTTTCTGCTGTCAGAAGTTTCTCCTGGTTTTTGCTTATGATATTTTGCTTCCTTGTATGCTTAATGATTTTTGAGTAGGATATCTTATTTTCCTTTCAAAAATTTTTTTTAGAATTCTTTGAAGTTCACTCTGAAGTTATGTTTTTCTACACAGGCTTTGTGTGCATTTCTGCCCAGGCTCTGGGAGGTCAAAGCAATTAGAGTCTGCTCTAAGCACCTTTGCAGTTGGAGGTTACTGGGCCACCCAGCTAAATGCTAATTTGGATTGTAAATCTGTATGTAGGCCAGTTTGTGGTTATATTTTCTCAGAGATATGTCCCCCCCAACCTCCGGTACTCACTGCTGAGTGCCAAGATATCTTTCTTAAAAGTTCCTGGGGAAGCAGTTGTGGGGTACTTTTTATTTTAATGTATGAAACACCTTTACTGAAGAAGTTGTGAAACAAGGATCTCAAATTCTCACAAGTTTGGTCAATGCCCTCAGGGCAAAAGTAGTTTCATTGCTAGTTTACTGTTTTTTTTTTTTTCCTCTAGATTTTGGCCTCATAAATCCTATTGTGCTTCTTTTTGGTGCTTTAAGAAATTTTTACATTTTAAAAGCATTTTTAGTTTTTTTTTTTTCAAGCAGTCATATCGGTCGGGATACTTAGCCACATCTTGGAATATTTCTTATTTTTCTATGCCATTATTTTGTAATATATATATTTTGAATCACTGAATCAGAATTACCTAGAGATGTTTACTAAACTTTCAGAATCTGGTAGCCAATTTCAAACTAATTGAAATAGCATCTCTAAGATGGGGTCCTAGTACCTGAATTTTTGTGAGGTTCTTTAAGTGATTGTAATGCATATAGAAGTTTACTTTTATTCACACTTTTAATTCTCATATCTGTTTTTTTTTTACTGTAGGAGCCTGAGATCTGAATTTATTGTTTTCTATACTTGTCGTAGCACCATATGTTCATCAATCCATTATTTTCACATTTATTTGATATGCCAACTTTTATCATGTATTAAATGTGTGTGTGTGTATGTGTGTTTCTGGCCTTTCTATTATGACTCATCAAGCTGCCCATTCTTTGAATGATACCATGCTGTTTTAATTATTATAGTTTCATGATGTGTTTTACTATGTGATAATAAAAAAATCCTCCACACTTTTTATTTTCTCCTTAAAACATTTAAAACATTATTATAGTTGCATTATTTTCTTGCTTTAAGAATGTTCAATGACTTTGCAGAATTAAATAGTTTTTCCAGTTTTTAAAAGAACTTTCTTTTTTTGGCCTTATCTCCTCCTATACTTTTTTCATATGGACTTAAGAAGTCCTTAGACTAAGGTATTTAATGTTTATTTTACCTGGCTCTTTGCCCACAAAAATTTTGTGTTTTAATCTTAGTACTTGCCATGGCCATTTTTGCTCTAGATATCTTTCTGTCCATCCTTCAAAATTGAAGTCAAGTTATTTACTCTCTTTCTTTGCAGAGCTGTTATGAATACTCCTAAGCTCAAGGGAACTTCCTTTCTTAATTTTGACAGCAATTATTGACTATACCACTCATTTTTACTTGGTAAATCGGACTGAATCACAGGCTGTAAAAGCTGGAAGCTTCTGAAAGAGATTACATTATCCATCTTTGTCATTTTACCAAAGCGAAAAAACTGAGTTCTAGAGTATGGGAATTGACTTGTTTATAGTCTCCTAATGATTCAATTGTTGAGGTAAACTCAGAATGTATTTCTTATATTTTAGAACTCATTCTATTACCATTGTCTCCTACATCATTATTCCATTGTATTTAAATTTTTATTTATGTAGGCATAGGTGTTTTTTTTTTTTTTTACTAGATTGGAAGTTTCTTAAAGGCAGCGTTCATGTCTACACATTTTTTGGAGTCATTAATAGCCCTAAAATTGTGCTTTGTACTTATTGGACACCTAGTAAATATTAGCGGCTGTTGGTAAAAAAACAAGTTGCTTCATTAACCACACGTCAGATTGGGGCTAGTTCCTTGTGGCCATCACTGCTATAACTGTATGGAAAGTGGCATCTAGTGGTTGGTGTGTGTATTACAATGCCTTTAAACACACCACCCCCTGCCCCCCCAGCTCCGGTCTCATCATGATGTAGGTAGAATAGATAGAATATAAGTTAAATTTTTAAATTGAATTCAAACCAATATAAAATGTTTTAAGTAGTGACCTCTCTAAAGTATAGCTACATGTTAAGCAATAAAGAAGTGAAAAAAGATGAAATTATTAATTTTAAAAAATATACTCTATAAAATTACTTCCAAAATAACATGCACACATATTTAAAGTTATATTGGTTGTTTACAGATTATATTAAGATTTGGAGGATTTTATAGGATATTGAGAAGCCAGAAGTACAATTGTAAAGAAAATTCACTTAGTATCTTCTCCATATTAACAAAATCCTCTGTCTATTGCTTTGCATTGTTCTCAGGAGCTTAATTTATATTTTAAAAAGAAAGATTTTTTAGTGAAAGATGAAAATAGAAAGTTACACCATCTTTTACTTGTAACACCAGAAAATGATGATCACATATTTACATTTAAAGTAGAGACATACATTCCAAAGTCAAATGTTATTTTTAGATATATAGCCATTTTAGATTATCATTTACTCCTCCATTAATGCATGTCACTGAGTATTGATAATATGCACGATCTAATTCAGTGAATATGACCATTGGCAGTCTTTATCTTGTGAATCAGTAGTTTCTAAAACTTTATGTTTGTACTTTGAAATCTAGAATTCATGCTTGCCCAAAACTATTAAATATCTTAAATTAACCTCCATTCCTGACAAGCTATAATATAATTTTTCTGTATGGAATTCAGAGAGCAATATGTACTGTCTTTGCATCTTCTACCTGCACCTAACATAACATAGTGGGTGATCAACAAGTATTTGTTGAGTTAGTTTTATATGTTGGAAGGAGCTGTGTCTTATCTGTCTTCAGTGCCTAACAAGTTTTCTGGCCTCTAATCATGCCCAATTCATGTTTGATGAGTAAGTTTGTATAATTCCATTTACCTTGTGATGTCATTGATGTATAATACTAAAACCAGTGTATAATCTAACCACATATATATCACAAATAATAGCTGCATAACAGACTTTAGATTAGAGCTGTCAGGAGCATTTTTTACTGGAACAGCATCTTGCAGTGTAAGAGATTAATTCCCAACCTCAAGCCATTGTTGTTTGCTTTTATCAGGAAAAGAAGTTCGAACATGTGGCTGGCTTCTAATTACAGCTGAGTGTGAGTGGGTTAGGAGTTATGAGTAGAAGGATGAGGTCAGTAGTTTGATAAGGAAATGGGAAAATATGCTTGTAGTGGTTGGAGTAAAGGAACACAGGGAATGTTAGGAAGGAGGCTAAGGTATTTTTAAATCATGGTCTTTGAAGACTAAGCACTGATACACATTACTTGGTATTTACATCACATAAAAGTTTCTGTTATTTAATGAGAAGCATACCACTGTATTGTACATAAATGGTGAGCTATCTACGTATGTTAACTAATTGTGATTTAGGAAGTTCAGCTTTATGCGAGGGTATAGGGTAGATCTGGATGGCAGAGGTCATCTACTGTCTTGTTCTCTTATGGGTTCTTATTTTATTTTATTTATTTATTATTTTTATTTTATTTGACAGAGAGAGATATAGTGAGAGAGGGAACACAAGCAGAAGGAGTGGGAGAGAGCAAAGCAGGCCTCCCGCCAAGCAAGGAGCCTAATGCTGGGCTTTGATCCCGCGACCCTGGGACCTTGACCTGAGCCAAAGGCAGATGCTTAATGATTGAGCTACCCAAGTGCCCATATTTTATTTATTTTTTAAAGATTATTGTCCTCCACCCAATGTAGGGCTCAAACTCACAATCTCAAGATCAAGAGTTGCTCTACTAACTAACTGAGCCAGCCAGGTACCCCTCTTACGGGTTCTTATTTTAGAGGAGGATATTTTTCTGGCTTCAAGAACAGTTCTTAATATGAGTTAATGAACTTACTAGTAGTGACTCTTTAGAATATCTAGACTGTGGGTGCTTGCTTTGGCCGCACATACACTAGAATATCTAGACTGTGGCAACATTGGTGGTAAAACTGTTGGAGTCCTTTTGACTGAGCTACTAGTGATGAGACAAAGGGAGCAAATTTTAAAAAGTTGGTAAGAGATAGCATTATGTATTTTAGGCTCTGCGATTGCTCATAAATGCCAAGATACACGCAACTTCAACCAGCAGACATCTTTGGCTAGTTGCCAAGGTCATTGCTAATATAAATTGAGAGGTCATGTCTTCTGTGTGATGTTAGGACAAAATAAGGAGTTCCTAAGAGCTTGGACAAGTGGCAAATTGTATTACAGGTGAAGTTGTTTGAATTCTTTTTAATTTTTAATATCTTTTAAACAAGATATTTTTCACTTTAAAATTATAACATATGGTCATTGTGGAAAATTCAAATGGAAGTGTGTACCATAAAAAGTGAAAGCTTCCCCAGAGGTAACCATTATTTGCAGTTTGGTATGTATTCTTCCAGATATTTTTCTGCCATTTGGTTTGTAAGTTTGGATTGCTAAATTTAGTTGAGGGATAAGTCAGAGACTCGTTTTCAGATTCATATTAAATAATTTTCATCCCTTTTTTTCTTCCTTACAGGTTTGCTATGGGTGTTCTCCAGGATCAAAATGTGACTGTAGTGGTGTAAAAGGAGAAAAGGTAAGATTTGAAATGAACCTTTGAAAACTCAGTAAAACCAGTAAAATAGTGTTTTGATGTGTTTTTAAAAAAGAAAACAGGGCTCTACCTCAGCATCTAAGTAAATTAAATGAATTCTACCATACTGCTTATTTTAGATAGCTGTAAGGATTAGATTATATCTCAGGGGTTAGCAAACAGTTTCTGTAAAAGACCAGAGTAAATATTTTAGGCTTTGTGGGCCACATAAGGTTTCTGTCACACATTTTTCTCTCATTTTTAAAAATAGCCCTTTAAGGGTGTAAAAAATTTCTTAGCTCTTGGATTATACAGAACAGACTTCTTACTGCATTTGGTCTGAGAGCTGCAGTTTGCCTATCTATGATCAATCTTGTTGAACTCACTGACTTAAGATGCAGAAGAAGGGAAAAACACTTAAGAAGGAACCTAACATCAGGCTACTAATCTGTGTTGGGTATCATGCTAGACAATTTCATATATTTTTATTTGGTTCGTGTAAGTTAATGATTGGTGAATCTCTATTTTTATCACACTTTTTCCATAGCAGCACCCTTATTGTGTACATGTGATAAGTACAAAGTAAGTATTGGTGAGAATTAAATAGCATAAACCCAGCCACTCTGAGTCAGTGACTGACAGTGAAGTTAAAAGATTAAGAAGGTATAATGAATTGTGGCCTACAGAGAATTGTGCTAGGAGAAAGAGGTTCGTACTCTAGTCTCCACTGTCTGGGGCTCAAATGTTTTTGAATGAATCAGTGAATATTACTAATTATATATGATAAAGTTTAGGATAATATTTCAAGAGCATATTCCATTTACGGATACAGAAGGTCTACTAACATTAAAAATGTTTAAAAGTCCTGGAGTAAAGAAACCTATTTGTTCTGCAGTGCTGTATTTCCAAGCTCCATTTGACTCACTTCTTCCTAACAGTGCTCCTGTTAATAATAATTGACCAGTGTTAAATAGGACACCTATTTAAGTGACATTAGTTTGAGGGGAGTAGTTTTATAGTAAGTGTGTGTTTTCTGTAGTGGTAAAAAGACGAAACGAGATTCATTTCTGATATTGGTAAAGCAACTTAAAAAAAAGATTTTATTTATTCATGTGTGAGAGAGAGAGAACACACGTGCAAGCATGAGCCTGGGGTTGGGCGTTAGGGAGAGGGAGAAGCAGATGAAACTGACATCTACATAATGGCACAGGAGAGTGACCAAAAGTGGGAAAAAAGTAGAGAGGATTCTACCCTAGAAAGAAAGGAAGTCCACTGGGAAAGTTTGCATTTATGGACTTTTCTCCTGAGTGCATCCTTCAGTCTGCATGGCAGAGGATGGCTAGAACCCAGACAAAAAGCCACAGTCTTACTGGCTTAAGAAGTTAAGAAGACAGAGTTGAGGATGCCAGAATGACTGTAAAGTGATGAGAGATACGCTGCAATAGAAGGAGGCACAGAGAGCACAGCCCAAATATTTACCTGTAAATTCCACCAAAATTCTTGGTTGAATCCTGAACTTTGTATGTATAGGGGAGGATTCATTCAACCCACCAAAAACAATAGCTGGAAGTCTTCAATAACTGAACATAGATTTAACTGCTGTCCATTGAATGTTTTAAGTTTTAGTTCAGTTAACTATTTCCAAAAACATAAGTTCAGTACACTTCAGAGGAAGATAAAAGAATCTAGGATGACTATAATATACAATGTCTAATTTGCTATTAAAACTTACTAGGTAACAGGTAAAAGTGATCCATAGTCAAGAAGAAGACTCATGAATGAAAACTAACTCTGAAATAACACAGATGTTAGAATTTATAGACAGATATTTAAACCAATAGGATAAATATATTTGTTGATGTAAAGGGAAATGTGCTCCTATGAGTGAACAAATAGAGAGTCACAACAGAGCACTGGAAACTTAAAAAAAGGGGAAATCAATATTTGAAAAGCAAAATATGAGAAAGAACAATTCACCAGTTAGACTTTTAACAGCAGAATCATGATGATGAAAGAAATGGTCAGTAAATTTAAAGATGAATCTGAGGAAAGATAAATCTGAAGAAAAAAGAGAATAAAAAGAAAACAAAAGCATAGGGTCTCACTGACCTGTGGGACAGTATTACAGGGTTTAATGCAAAATGTAAATGGAGTCCTGTAACAATGGGAGAGAAGAAAACAGGGGAGAAAAAGGAATAATAATTAAAAGGGCAGTAGTAATGACAAGAATTTCTCACACTTGGTAAAAAATATAAATTTACAGATATGAGAAATTTAGCACAACACAAGCAGAATAAAAGGCACCTAGGCACATCATAATGAATCAACTGAAAAAACAGATTTAAAGAAAATCTTCAAAGATGCTAGAGAAAAAATACACATTACATACAGGAGCACAATGATATGAATGATGCCAGACTTCTCATCTGAGAGAATGGATACTGTACAATAACGTAAAAACATTAGAGAGTTGAAAAATTTGCAAACACAGTTGTTATATACAATGAAAATAGAAATAAAGACAAACAAACAAAAACCAGACTCTTAAATACAGAGAACAAACTGGTGGGTGCCAGAGGGGAGGTTGTGGGAGATGGGTTAAATAAGTGAAGGAGGTAAAGATGTATAAATCTCCAGTTATAAAATAAACAAGTAATGGAGATGAAAAGTACAGCACAGGAAACATAGTCAACAATGATGTAATAAAGTTACATGGTGACAGGTGGTGAATACATTTAGGGTGAACACCGAGTAACCTGTAGAATAGTGGAATCAATATATTGTACATTTGAAACTACTATAGCATTGCATGTCAACTACACTTCAATAATAAATTTTAAAAATAAAATAAAGTCAAATTTAAGACATTAATAAAATGAGGTAATTCTTCATCAGCATATCTGCATTAAACGAATATAAAGAAATTTCTTCAGGCTAAAGGGAAATGTGGATTTCTGGGAAGGAATTGAAAGCACTAGAAATGGTGTATATATGGGTAAATATAAAAAATGATATCTTTTTCCCCTCTCTAAATTTATTTACAAGACACAAGACTATTCATTTAATTTTTTTAGTAATGGTACTGAATATTTTATTTCATTTTTTAAGTTTTTATTTTAATTCCATTTAGTTAACATACAGTGTTATATTAGTTTCTGGTGTATAACACGTCCATACATCACACAGTGCTCATCATGATGATTGTAGTCCTTAATCCCCATCACCTATTTCACCCCATCCCCCCACATACCTCCCTTCTGGTAACCGTCAGTTTGTTCTCTGTAGTTAAGAATCTGTTTCTTGATTTCTCTCTCTCTCTCTCTCTCCATTGTGTTCATTTGTCTTTTTTCTTAAATTTGACATATGAGTGAAATCATATGGTATTTGTCTTTCCCTGACTTATTTCACTTAGCATTATACTGTCCAGCATCATCTGTGTCATTGCAAATGGCAAGATTTCATTCTTTTCATGGCTGAGTAATATTCTATTATATATATACATACACCACCTCTTTATTCATTCATCAACAAGTAGACACATGGGCTGCTTCCATATCTTAGCTATTGTAAATTATGCTGATATAACCATAGGGGTACATGTATCCCTTTGAATTAGTATTTTTGTATTCCTTTGGTAAATACTCAGTAGTGTGATTGCTGGATCATAGGGTAGCTCTATATTTAACTTTTTGAGGAACCTCCATACTCTTTTCCAGAGTGGCTGCACCAGTTTACATTCCCACCAATAATGCAAGAGGGTTCCTTTTTCTCCACATCTTTGCCAATACCTGTTGTTTCATGTGCTGTTGATTTTAACCATTCTGATAGGTGTGAGGTGATAGCTCATTGTAGTTTTGATTTGCATTTCTCCAATGGTAAGTAATGATGAACATATTTTCATGTGTCTTTTGGCCATCTGGATGTCTTTGGAGAAGAGTCTGTTCATGTCTTCTGACCATTTAAAAAAATATATCAGCTAATTTTATTTATCTTATTTTTTTCATCCCCACAAGAGTCCTCTTTAATACCTATCACCAGCAACTCTCAGTTTGTTCTCTTAACTATACAGTCCCTATGGTTTGCCTCCCTCTCTGTTTTTTTCTCATTTTATTTTTCCTTCCCTTCCCCTATTCATCTCTTTTGTTTCTTAAGTTCCACATATGAATGAAATAATATATTTATTTGTCTTTCTCTGACTTACCTCACTTGGCAGTGTACTCTCTAGTTCCATCCATGGTTGTTGCAAATAGCAAGATTTCATTCTTTTTGATGGTTGACTGATATTCCATGGTATATATGCCACATTTTCTTTGTCCATTCATCAGTTGATGGACATTTGTGCTCTTTCCATAATTTTGCTATTGTTGATAGTATTGCTATAAACATTGGGGTGTGTGTACCCCCTTCGAATCAGCACTTTTGTATCTTTCTGTAAACTCCCAGTAGTGCAATTGCAGGGTCATAGAGTAGCTCTATTTTTAACTTCTTGAGGAACCTCCATACTGTTTTCCAGAGTAGCTACACCAGCTTGTGTTCCCACCACATTGTAAGAGGGTTCCCCTTTCTCTGCATACTTGCCAACATCTGTTGTTTCCTGAGTTGTTAATTTTAGCCATTCTGACAGTCATTGTGGTTTTGATTTGTATTTCCCTGATGAGTGATATTGAGCATTTTTTTATGTGTCTGTTAGCAATTTGTATGTCGTATTTGGAGAAATGTCTGTTCATGTCTTCTGCCCATTTCTTAACTGTATTATTTATTTTTTGGATATTGATTTTGATGTGTTCTTTATAGATTCTAGATTCTAGCCCTTTATCCTGCATGTCATTTGCACATACCTTCTCCCATCCACCAGTTATCTTTTAGTTTTATTGATTGTTTCCTTCAGTGTACAGAAGCTTTTTATCTTGATGAAATACCAGTAGTTCATTTTCACTTTTGTTTCCCTTGCCTCTAGAGATGTGTCTAGTAAGATGTTGCTGCAGCCATGGTCAAAGAGTTGC